AATTAAATAAAAATTAATTAATGTAGACAACAATAAAGGAGAGAAAAAAAACTTTAGAATTTAAGTTGCCATAAAGTAGGGACAATTTAACAAAACTAAAGAATGTGAACTCGATAGAAGTGAAATAACTTCAAAGTAGAAAATGTGTGTGTATGTATACAAGAACCAAAAATATTAAGGAAAGTAAGGAGTAAAACAAAATTAAACGAAATTAACCCTAGGACATTAATGTTAGTCGATTCGACTAACACTGTTTATGTTTTGTGGTGAAGTTTCTTGGAAATTCATTTTTGAAATGGAATTTTCGTTAATTAAAGCCGAATTGTGCTTGGCCGATATCGGCTATTTGCGGGCGAAAATTGCTTACAAAATTGGAATGAAAACTAGATTTATGTGTACAATCACGGTCAGCAAATAATCTGGTTAAGTGTGCGCATCAATTCGGACGGTCAAACTGTTCGGCCGAAATCGGTCGTCCAATCAGATGCAATGTGCGTCTAGCGTAATAACTAGTGTTAACGTATTAAGAAGATGATCAGTGTTCTAAGGTTATATAAAGAGAGAGGAGTCTAAAATTATTCAACCAAAAAGTCAACAAGAAAATCGAATTAAATTGTAAACATAAACATATATATGCATGTATATACAGGTATATACTCATATATATCCATACATATATACTCATATATGTATGTAGGGAAGAGTTAGGGTCACGTAAAATGATAAAGCAAGAATAGTATACAATTTATTGACTAGCTTGAGATTAACTCAACCCAAACAAGTTTAATCAGGTCAAATTAAATAAACATAAATAAAATTAATATAAATTACCTTAACCAAATGTGAAATTAAATTAAATAACACGGAATCAAACAGAATAAATTGAACAAATAAACACAAATTTTAAATATAATAAAACGAATTATATATATATATAGATAGACAGATAGATAAAATACCATAATACCACATAAAATAAAATGAAAGTTTCACTAAGAAATTTTAAATAAATATACAAATGGGAAAGTTATACAAATAAATAACCAAACATATAAACTAAAATAAACCACAATTTAATATAAATTCCAGTAATGTAATTCTAAATGAATAATGAAATTATAACAAAGAAAATGGCCAAGATATAAAAGAAATTAATATGAACCCTAATAATAAAAGATCCTAAAACGAGAAAGAAAAAACTTTTATACAAAAATACAGAACTGGCTTAGGCTTGCTTAGTTTACTTACCTGCTTTACATTCTTTCAATTTTGGTGCTAACATACTTACCTGACTTACATAATTTAACCTTTTGTTTATTTACTTACCGGATATTTACCCTTACTGAATACTTACCTACCCCTAACGTTACAGTACTTACCCTAATATTAGTACCTATCATATAAGTTTTGACTTCGGAAAAGAAAAATAAAAATTTGTAAGGGATTGTGCTAGGACCTAACACATAAGACTCGATCAAAATACGTTCTTACAATTGTTTATGCGTATCTTAGACTGAGGAATGTTAGCATTAGGATATACATCGCAAAAAATATAGAAAAAGGGTTTTTCTTAACAGCGGTCGTCCCTCGGCAAGCAATGGCAAACCTCCGAGTGTATTTATGCCATGAAAAACAGCTTCTCATAAAAATACAATCGCCGTTCGGAGTCGGCGTAAAACTGTGTTCTTTTTCGGTCTATTTTAAATTTAAAAAAGCTTTTGTTCGTTAATTTTGAGCTCCAGGCCGGTTATTATATAAAACATAGATTTTGGTAGTTTTATTTATTACATTATTGATGTTTGCTTTTGTTTTGTAACGGATTTTTTTTTTGAATTTTGAATTGTTGTGTGTCCGTCCGTTGGGATGTTTGACAAGGCATGACTTACCTCTGCTATGGCGCAGGGAACAGCGGTGAAGGCAAAAACCTAGCCCAGCTGACAAGACAAGCCACAGTGAACCCCTTTTGTGTCATGCCATGTGTACCATAACAATATTTGAATATGTGTCCATCTCGCGACAAAATTATATGGTTACCCGGATTGGGCTATTTTTTTATATTTTTTTCAGATTAATTTTAATATTTTTTTTTTTAATATAATTTAATGCGGATCAACTGCAGTTAATTCCCGAGATAATTCCGAATAAAGGTACGACCGCACTAGGCGACGGGACACGACACTACACAGCGCGGCAAAATATTCCTTGCATGGATTCTTATTATCATTACGCTGCAGCGGAGCTACGCGACGCGACGCTGCGCGGCAAAGTTGACCAACTAGGCAAAAATGTGGCGTCGCATGGTGTCGCGCAGTTCCGGTGCCGCATAATGCGGTATACCCACAACTTAAAGAAATTGATCTCGAGTTGTGAGTGAATATTCACATGCATTTCATTCAAGAAGAAAATTTTATGTAAATAAACAGCATTTGAGGAGAATTCGCCAAGGAAAATAAAAATAAAAGGCACTAACATTACACCAGCGTCACTGGCTTCCATCTTGTTTGAAGGTTTTGACGCAAGTAAATTAAAAAAATTTGCAGCGAAGTTCGCGCCGCTGCAGTTTCAGTGCGATATACCAAAAAGTGTCACGCCGTGTCGCGTAGTGCGGCTGCAGTGTCGCGTTGCTTAGTGCGGTCGTACCTTTAACGAGTTGATTCGGAGGGTACGGTTTAGTACGTTGCCGATCTATTTCGAGGTATTGCGTCCAAAGGGGTGACCCGATCCAAATTAAATTTGCACACACTTGTAGCCAAGGGTCTACAAATTACTCTAACACCCACTTTTGTAATTTTTAGTCACTAATTTATATACAAATTGGGTTAGAAATATGCCCTTTTTTGTAAAATTCGGAAATTAGCGTACATTTATCACTCCTATTCTCCTTAAAGCAGCCACTTCACCAAAATATTTTTATATTCTCCTTCACTTTACACTTTACTCGATGAGTTATAACTTTCTTTATGACTTTAATATTAATCAATTAACCACAATTTATTAAATAAAAACACCTTCTAAATCATGCGTCTGACTTTGGTTGCATATGCAAATGAAATGGCGGAGTTCAGCTGTCAAACTCCAAAATATGCAAAAGAATGAGAGACAAAAGAAAATAGGATATAACCCAGTAAGTATTAAAAATATACAAAGGTGTTCTCTGCGAAAGGTGTTCAGCTCCTTTTCATCGCAAAACAGAAAGAATTCTACTGCCTGAGGGTTATAATCCCTAAGTGCGGCCGAAGGCCGCCTACGCATAAAGGTGTTCAGCCCCCCCTTCTTTCGCCTGATAACCACCTTGGGATAACTTCTTTTATTTAAAAACCCCACAGATTGTTAATTGAGTTATATTCCACTTCAAACTGCTCAATTTCCCTCGGTAAATGTTGTTTTTTACCCATTTTCAAACGGTTCCCTAGGGCCCCGAAGCGGGGATGCGACTTTTTTTAAAGTGGGGCTGTCCCCTTTCGAATGGGGAGGGTTTAGGGGGCCACGTCCCCTCTCCTCCTGCCCCCACCCCAAAAATGACCTGCAAATAACTAAACATTTCCCGATTCGGATCAACGCTGCCGTCTGTTTAAGCTTTAAGATAAAAAAATTAGAGATATATTTGATCCATTTTTTGTATTTTGTACGAAACATTTTTTTCATGACTCGCGGCAACACTGCTGGCCTTATATTGGGATATCGATAATTTGAAAAATCGATAAGTGTTTTACATTAATATTTCAATAAATCTTTGATACACGGCCAAACTAGCATACACTATTTTAAACATGGGAGAAAGCGACGATAAACAAAATAACCCTCATTTTCAGATAATTCGCGATCCGAACTTGGCAAAGAATCGAATTTTTGTGGGAAACCTGCCGACATGTACACGTGAAGAATTGGAAAGTATTTGTCATCCGTACGGAAAGGTATTGGGATCTTTGGTTCAAAAAAATTTTGGCTTCGTTCAATTCGAGTCGGAAGAAGTGGCTAACAAAGTCGCATCATCACTATCCAGATCAATTTTCAAGGGAAATATAATAACTGTTAGAAACGCTGCGTCTAAGCATACTCCTAAGCGACAGGCTACTGATACTGTAGGAACTTCAAATACGAACGCTGGTCACTACAGTGGAGGAGATAATGTGACCGCTAATACCCCTTCAAACCTGAATCCAGATTACAATGATTGCGAAATTATTGTGATTGATCGACGCAATACGTAAGTAAATTTTTGATTTGGGAAAAAAATATAAAATAAAAAAATGTGATCTGGTATGAATTACAGGAAATATGCCGAGTACATTGAACAACGTCTTAAAGATATAAACTTAAGAGTGGACGTGTTGTTTCCAAATGAGGATGTGCCTCTCGGTAAAGTACTCATTAATATTTCTACTCGGGGGTGTTTATATGCCATATTGGTTACACCCCAACACGAAGAGCACAACAGCATAACAGTGAACATATTGTATGGCCAGCCTGCAGAGCACCGAAATATGCCGATGGAAGATGCAATACAGTTAATAGCAAAAGATTTTCGTCAAAAGATGGCTACTGATGCGTCCAAGAAAGCAGCATTTGTTCCAGCTTTAAATAAAGCTGTGCCTGTTGCCCCCATTGGTGTTCCATCGTTGAAAGATCGGCACTCTAATGCGATCCAAATACTAATTAATTTGCTTGCTGACAACATGCCACTTACAGTTCTTCAATATGATAAAATAATAAAATACCTTCAAGAGCGTCGTGACCTACAAGTAAAAATAGAGCTAGGGGATGCCGCTGATATAGCCACTAAAGTTCCCGATCCTGAAATCGAGTTACAGAAGAGGATCCTTGATATTATGAACAAACCGTCTGTGGCAGAAACGCATTACAAGCTATTGTACCCATCTTTGGAAGCCGTTAAATCAGACTACCGCGTTATGGAACTCCTAAAAGACGTTCGGGTTCAAAAAGCGCTGGAATCTTTAATGGATTCTAATCTTGTCGGCACCGTAGAAAACTATATGAAGTTTTAGCTATAATCGTTTTATTAATATAATAACAGCTGCAAACTACGTAAATACATTTAAGTAATCTATATTTTATGGCCAAGATCGTTTTGCTTCATGCCCTTTATATTTGCCGCGATATTTTAAGCCCGTTACAAGGGTTGAATTTTTTGGGAATGCAGTTTGGCCATTGAACTTTACATCAGAGTCGGGATGAAAACGAACATATTCATGTTGTATGTGTAAATTCTCGGGAAGATCAGTTGCTTTAAGAGAATCATAGGGAACTGTAGTGTTTACAGGTGTGTTATAAAATTGGAGTACATCGCCTGAAAGAAACTTGTAACTATGTACTGACATCGGCAATTCATAAGCTTATCTCACCTATGCTTTGCAATTCGTGTATTCGAGAGTTTGGGATACAATATTGGAAGCTCTTAAAACAGGCATCCAAAAACGCATACTTTTCTTCCAAGTTTTCTAGTCTGTATTCATTCGCTGTAGATATTTTCAGGTTTGCACATATTTCACTTACTTTTTCAGCAACGTTGGTAACCGGTGTATACGGCTTATGCGATCTTAAAAATCTACAATCAATTGTTTAGCTTACTGAAGAAATATCGATTTCAAAAACATAGTTACCCTTTGGAAGCTAAAGACTTTCCCATATCAACCACTTTGCGCTGTGCCTGCGGATACGACTTTCTTGAAGCAACATTGGCGTAAGTTTTGGCTCCCTGCCAATTTTAAAATTGAATAAATGTGAACATTTAGTAGAGTTTAAAAATAAGCGTGTTCCAGGTACTTCAGGACTTGCGAGTTTTACAGGATTTTACACGAAATTCTGTTTTCGCCATTAATAAACCATATGTAATGTGTCGTAAGGGGATAGCTTCCTGTAAAATCATGAAGTACCTGAACCAGGCTTAATATTGTTATAGTATATTCTATCCAAGACTTACAGATTCCCTTAAAGTAAGCTGTAAACTTTTACGTAAACTCATTTTCGCACTTTTCTTCTAATGTAAGGCATGCGCGATATCGATACGATATTCAATAGAGCTGGTGTATTATCGATAGTATCCATAATTTAAAACTGTCACAGCTATCGATAGTTTTTGAAAACTGCCGATGTCGGTTTCAGCGAAACCTCTTTTCATCTCTACATTACATTGATTTTTTTATCCAAGAAAATTCAAAGTACAGTAGGCAAAAAAATTTGTTATTGGAATTTTAGCAAGTATAATCTTACACTGAGTTATAGTAAAATTTAATAAGCTATAAAACAGCTTCCACAAAATTTTTATAGAAATTCGAATTAAAAAGCTTGAAATTTTAATAATTTTGTAGTTTTTTATGTTTTGTACAACTTTTATAAAAAATTTGTAAACACTAAAAAAACAAAAAAATAGTCAAAACTGCTGAAAATGTTGTGGTGCTATTATTTTGACCAGTACTTTATTCGTTTTCTTAAAATATGGTAAAATGTTAATTTCCTTTGTCCGGATTTTGATATGCGATTTATTTTATTATTATAAGTTTTTTTTTTATGATGCACTCAAATTTTAACAAATTTATATAATCTCTTTAATTTACAAAGTAATTTATAAAATTTTATTTTCAAGCAATTTAGGATTTCAATTCAATACCTCTCACGACGATAGTACTATCGATACTATCGATGTTTTCAACTATCGTTTCGAAAACTATCGAGCGGCGGTACTATCGATAGTATCCCAGCTCTAATATTCAATACATCAATATCGCAGTAGAGAATTCGGAAACACATCGATTTTTTGCTTCGATGCATCGAAATTTTTCCACTCGATGTATAAAGCTTGGAACACATTGGAAACGACGGGCTACGGACCATAGCTATGAACCAATTAGAACAGATCTGACCGTTTGAGAAACAGCCATTTGTAATAGCAATTGAGAAAAAAGTGTGTGACGTTCGTAATTTTTGAAGTTTGCTAGTTCTGTTTTGCTTCTTTCTTTATGTGCATTTTGTCGGTGGTTAAACACTACAAAAATAATAAATTGGTTAGCACAAACATGTGTTACAGAATTGCTTGCATATTTTTCTTTATGCTTCGTCTTCATATTCTTTGTTTACTTTTCAAAGAAAATAACACAGCGCCGAAATTACAAACGTCAGCCAGAAAATTACTTTTTTCTTTTGCTTCATCTTGCCGGATCTTGTGTAGTTGGATCATGGACAGGATTGGGCACGCTGCACTAAATCGAGATCTTCACTACCACTAGGACTTCAGTGGTAGTGCATTTCAAATTTCACTACCACTATATGGTTAGTGATAGTGCATTTCAAATTTCACTAGCACTACATAGTCATAGTGAAATAGAATTTTCACTATCACTATCTGGTGAGCGGTAAGGGAACGAAAAATTCACTGTCACTGACTAATTACATTAGTTTACAAATTTAGGAAAAGTTTGCGATCTGTGTAAATTTCTTAGTTAGCTAGTAAGTTAGTTCAAAAATGTGTAACCACCAACCATATAGTGGTAGTGAAATTTGCAATGCATTACCACTAAAGTGCATAGTGATAGTGAACAAAAATTTGCCACTACCACTAACCATATAGTGATAGTGAAAATTTTTTTTCACTACCACTATGCACCTAGTGGAAATGCATTTCAAGTTTCACTACCACTGTATGGTTAGTGGTAGTTCATTTCAAATTTCACTACCACTAGGGCTTCAGTGGTAGTGCATTTCAAATTTCACTACCACTATGCACTTAGTGGTATTGCATTTCCTATTTCACTACCACTACACGAATAGTGGCAATAAAATGCTCAGTGCATTAAAATTTAGTGCAGCGTGCCCAACCCTGATCATGGACCATAGCTGTCAAATTTTTATTTTAACACGTACTCTTATAGGGCATTCGCACAAAGCGATTTTTCAGGCAACTTTTGCATTCAACTCACGCAGGGTTGCACAAAAAAAAATTTAATGGCTAAAAATATAAAAATGTAAAAAAATATCAAAATATTCGCCATAAAAAGTCGTTTGCATTGTTCAACTTTGCATTCTACTTTTGGTTGAACGGAATTTTAACTAATCGCTTTCAACAAAGTTGGTCGTCAGCCAACATTAAGCCATCCAACTTTTTTTTCGTCCCACCCTGCATGAGTTGAAAGCAAAAGTTGAACGCAAAATCGCCTTGTGCGAACACCTTTTTATGTAGATAATTATTTTGGCGACGACACGGCAACACTGCGACTAGTCAAAAATGTAGCTGTGGCCAGATTGGATCTATTTCTATTTTTCTAGCGACGGATAAGATTCTCCCTCTTCTTTATGTCAAACTCAAACAAATTCAAGATGTCGCTGCCTCGTTTGAAAAAATCTTGTGCCCGACAAGGCGTTTATATTATGTAGATAAAACTTTAATGTCCTGTCGTGTGGTGATGTCGTTTTCGATGTGTTCAGAGCTTAAATAGTCGATGCATCGATGTTTTTTTTTAACTGACATGTCTAGTAGATTGAACCGCCATTCCAGTTTTTTAACTGTACCAAGGCGAATTTATGTGAGGTGGTGTTACTAGATCAGCTGATTTTGTATATGTGTTTCGCCGCACGGCGTCTGATGCCAATTAAAAAATTTTGTTTGAATTTCTGCACACAACCTTACAGATTTTGACAGTTTATGCCGCCAAAGCAAAAACAAAATGCATGTAAATTTTTGGGTTTTTTTAATACTACTATCACCTTATATTAATTCGCCTGGAATTGTACAATAAAGAGAAGTGACATTGAACAACAAATTTAAAAGGCTCCAAAAAGTTCCGTTATAGGAAATTTACATGAGGCGTTTTTCAGACAACTTTTAATTCAACTAATCGCCTGTGAAAGTTAAATCATGTAAACTTCCTTTTAGAAGCATAATTAGCTCAGTTACAGAAGTTTAAAAATAAAATATTGAAAGATAAAAAATTTGCTCGGAAATGCAACAACAAGGATGCGATCCTGATAGAGATCCGGTTCAATTTATGATCCAACTTTTTGGGTTTGTGTCACTGACAATATGGTGGTACGGATTGAGAGCACTGACAAATGAATGTATACACAAACACATATTCTGCCATTGCTTCTTTTAACTTGCTTCAAATAAATTAGCTTTACGTTAAGTATTTGTTTAAGTGAATATTATTTCGTTTAAATGTACTTTTACCAATTAGGGCCGGTTGTTCAATGTCTGGTTATCACTACTTGCCGGTTAAACATCATTATCGACGATTTCGACAGCATGCATATAACATGTGATCGATAAAGCAGTCGTTGTATCTAATTGAACAACCGGCCCTTAGAGCCGGAAGGATATAACTTAAGGATTATAACCCTCAGGTAGTAGAATTCTCCTTTCTGTGTTGCCACCTTTTGCAGAGAACACCTTTCTGCGTAAGCGGCCTTTGGCCGCGCTTAGGGATTATAACTCTCAGGCATTAGACTTCTCCTATCTGTATTACTAAAGAAAACGGCGGAAGTATTTTTGCGCAGAACTTCTTTCTGTCGCAGTCGTCCCGCTCACGATCATAAGCATCAGTATGGTCATTTCTCCCTTCATGAACACCAGTAAAACAAAATTACTCACGGTATTTAAAACAAACTATTACTACGTTTATATGCATGTGTCATTTGCAAATAACAATTTACAAAATGGTAAAATTTGCCGTATAAACGCTGAGTTAATTTTTTATTTGCAAATAACTAAATCACGCGAATAAGTGTTGATTAGTGGTACTATTTGCAAATAAGCGCCAGACTCCGCCATTCTTAGGTTTATTTTCTTTTTCGATGGTCACCTTATTGCCTTTTTATAATCAAGACGGTGCCATTTTTAGCTTTATTTTCTTTTTCGATGGTCATAATCAGGTTTTATACTCAGGCAATATTAAAACAGAATTTTTCGCCATCGAATAAACAGTGAGTTAGGTAAAAAGGGGATTTCGTTTACCTTTCTAACGATACCAATTTTTTTTTAAATGCGGTCGGGAAGTTTTCGAAATATATCCATTTTAAATTTTCGAAAATTCCCCCTTCGCCCCTCCATAGCACCG